TCTTTTATAGCTATGTGACATTCCATTTGACAGTTAACTCCTCTGAGGAGTTAATAGTACACTTTTCCTAGTCATCCCATGGTGTTACGAGAATTCAGTGAAATCATGCAGCTGAAAGCCACTATGGAAGAATTCAAGGATTATACAGTCATTACATATATAAAAGGAAATAATGTTTATGTAAAACGTTGGTTCAGGAATTGAGCAACATACCTTTTCATCACCACTGTCATTATTGAACCATGTGATCTTGAATAAATCACTCTTTTCTTTCAGTAACCCCAATCCAATTTCTTTTTTCTTTTTTAATTGGACAAATGAGGGCTTTAGATTATGTGATCTTTTGGGTCTTTCTAGTGCTAAATTTCTATAGTTTATACTAACATACCCTTTATAAAGGAAATAGATTTGTAATAAAAAGGAAAGTAATGTGACAAAAGCTATGGAAAAACATTTTTTTGTTGTTGGCATAAAGAAGAATGCCAAAAGAAGGATGTAGGTAGACATGGAAAGGAGATGAATGAGAGTAGGGAAGAGTTAAATTAACAGGCAAGAGTTAGAGATATTATAATGGGTGTGGAATCATTAAGTTATCCTTGAAAGAAATACATGAGAATTTTATATCTGTTAGAAGTATTACTAAGTGAACGCTTCAGTAATGCTAATATTACAAATTTGATAGATGAATATGGTCTTGGCCATCAGGAATGAGCTATCTAGGAATATACTTTCTCCTGTCTACTCACCGTCTGTTGAATCTAATTTAAGACACTCAATAAAGACAGTTTTCCCTATTTTCTCTCTCAGATATTTGAGAATCACTTTAAATCTTTAGCAGTAGGATTTCTCATTAGCATCACGTAGCACTAGCTTAATGATATAGATCATGGGATTTTAATAATGTATAGTATTAACAGTTCTACTCAATGTAAGTTACTAAGGTTTGCATTTTCTTAAATAAAAAATATTTAGGAGACACATCCAGGATGTTTAGGAGAACAAAGAGCTATGACAGCCTGCTGACTACCTTAATTGGTGCTGGGATCCGAATTCTTTTCAGTTCCTGCCAAGAAGAAACTGCAGATTTGCTAAAGGAATTGTCTTTAGTGGAACAAAGAAAGAATGTTGGCATTCATGTTCCAACAATGGTGAACAGTAAGAAATGTGAAACTCTTCAATTTTATCTAAGTATTCCCAATATAAGTTATGTAATTGCACTGAATATGTGTCACCAGTTTTCATCTGTGAAAAAGATGACAAACAGGTATGTCTGTTTTAATATTGTTAAATGGTTACTTTAAAATTGTTCTAAGAGGGATTTCATTGGAATTTTCATATTTTTTAAAAGTAAAGAGGTGTAGTGCCAGTTAGATTCATTCAGTAAAGACTTTGCTTGTTACCGAATTAAGCTAAGGACATTAATGGAAGGGGGGAGTTAAAAAGGTAAGCATTGTATTTGTAGCTTAGAGCCCTATGTGGAGGTAGACAGCACTTGCAGTGTAACATTTCTGGGCATTTTAGTTCTGTAACTAAAAAAATGTTCAAGTTGAAAGTTTTACTAGGTTTTAATGACTTTATTGCTTGAAAATCAAATGAAGCTATTAGCAAATACATTAAACTACAGGCCCAAATAAGATGTTGAAATTATAATTTTAAATGATTTCAAATATAGGAAATAAATGTGCTTTTGTTTATTTAAACCAATGCTAAACACATTAAGTGAATGTAGAAATCTGGGGGAAAAAATTATTTCCTTAAAGGCTTTTGTTTGGTGTTCTTTAAACAAGAATATTGAATTTTATAAGTCAGAAGTTCAAGTATATTTTTGTTTATTTTTCAGCACACCTCAAGAAATTTCCATGTATGCACAAGTAACTCATCAAAAGGCTGAGGAGATCTATAGATATATTCACTATATATTTGACATGCAAATGTTGCCAACTGATCTTAACCAAGGTAGTAGTAAATCTGATAGGTGATCAGACTGCTCAGGTTGGGTTATCAGAGAACAATACAAAATGCACTTCAATATCATTGCTACAGTTTATGATTATGTTTAATACATATATATGAGAATATTGCCCTGTCTATTGTTTTATACTGTGTACATGTTTATTTATATAGAATATGTAAATTTTGAAAACATGTGTTTAATAATTATTTTGGTTAATTAGATAATGAAACTTTCTTATTGAATAAAAAGTTTAAAGGTGCTGTGAAGAAATAAAAGCTAGAGTGAAAGATGTATTTTAGGAATTTTCCAAAGATTATAGTGCTGTCATTGTCATTTGTTAGCATTATAGGTTGATGTATCTGCTGCCAGCTTAATGGTCGTAAACATTTTTTCCTATACATATACAATATTGAATAGGTATGGGTGGTAGGTGTATTGTGAGATAATGCCCCAGGAACTAGGAAAAGTCAAAAATTTAACTGAATCCTAGTAGCTGTCAAATTCTAGTAGTATGAACTCCAGTCTATACTACTTTTGTTGTTGTTGAAATACGGAAGTGATATACTGGAGTTGCAAAATTTCAGTATAGGTTGAGCTGTCAAATGCAGGCTTTCATTGTGACCCATCACAATATTTTAAGATGGTTCCGTATTATCATCTGCAACATAAGTCTCTTTCTTCTAGTCAGTGTAGTGATAAAGCAGTCTATAATTATGGATATATGTTTTCCCCACCTAAGGTCCTTTATTCTCTGCCTTATTTTTATCTTCTATTATACATTGTTGGGGAGTTGAATCAACCGAACAGCAGAGGGTTTCACTTAGACTTGGCATGGCCTTCAAAGCTGATCTAATTCAGATTGCTTTTCTCTTTCCTATCAGACGATAAAAGAGACACAGAAACAAGTGACTTCCTCAAGTGTAGACTGAGAAATCTAGCTAACAGGAACCCAAGAACTAGATAGTTTTCTTTCACTAAAAAAGCTACTCTGATTGTGAACTTAGCTCCTTTGGGACAGTGTAAATTCTAAATTCTTCTAAAGCAGTTGATCTCTTCTGCCTGCTGTTCAGTAATTTTGTCAAACTTTTCCTTTACAGAGAGTAAAGGAAGTGATATAAATTATTGGCTGGTGTGCAGTTTTCCTTGTATCTCTCAGGATCAGATTCATCCTTTAGGATCTCACTGTGCAGTGGTGGAGTGGACGTTCTGAGCGTTTCCCCCTAGTGAGCATGGTTCTCAGCTTGGTCAGGTAGGAGGAAAGGGGCTTCTCTTTCCGGTCCCAGCATGCTCTGTTGCTGCTCCTCATACTGCGTGGGGTCAGTGGGCGCGCTGGGTAGGGCCGTCTGGCGGAGCCCTGTGCCCCAGCTCCACCAGAAGCACGCAGCCCCCTCAGCAACCTCGCATTGCCGCGGGCTGATGGCTTCCCTACAGCCTCTCCCATGCAGACACCAGTGTCCTCAGATGCTGTGTGCACGCTGCAGACAAAGTGTTTCCTAAATGGACATGGTTTGAGGGACATAACTTAGAGGATTTCATTTACTTATGCTTGCTGTGTAGAGACCTCTTTCCATTTTTAAACTGCAACAGCCTCATTCTATATTCCCACAGGTTGCACTTATCAACCCTATTGTTTATCGATCCATCTTGTCTGCCTTTGAGCTCTCAAAGTCTTTCTCTTCCAATTTGAAGTCTCCTTTGGATGTTACCTTAAACCTTACTAGTTTATCTAATGACCCAATGGAAAGAAATGGGAGTAACCTGGTACCTGGCAGGTGGGATAAACAGAGACTTGATAGGTCACAGGGAATATGGGGCGTGGGGGTACCTTGTAGTTGACGTCAAGTGTATGCTACTTCAAAATACCCTTTTTGTTTCCTATTATAGAACTGAACTACCTTCTAATTCCTAAAATACTTCCATTAACATCAAACAGCACATTATTACACCAAATATTTGTAACTTAAAGTTCTACAGTAGTTTTTTTAGAGCTACTCTAACATAACCCTTTCATTTTTTTCATCCTTCACCTAGCAAAATTATTTGTGGCAGAAACTATCATGGTAGTTTAAAGGAGAATGATCTCACTTTACCTGCACTATTCTTCTTAAATCTTGTGTTTCTATGAATTCTATAGTTCTTTAGTAGCTGATCATTACTGACTAAATTCTTAAGAAACAAATGTATTTTTTCTGTAAGTTCTGATATTTTTCAAGGAAAGAGCTGAACCATTAACCAAAAAGGTCATTTTTTTCTATGATCCAACAGTTAGAAAAACCAATCAAAACACAAATATTATTAAAGAAAAAACTTACTTTATTTGAACAAACCTAACTGGAGAGAAAGGGTGAGTGATGTACTATAAACAGAGGGAAAAAAATTTTCATGTCAAATTTAAAACATAATGGCAGAATATGATAAAAGATGTTTATTTCTAAAGAAGCTGTCCAAAAGGAAAACAGTGTTTACTATGACATGACATAGTAATTTGACTTCTTACAGTAGTAAATCTGTAACCTGAATGTTTTGTCTAATCCAGTCTTTTAAATACTGAGACCAAATTTTTGCTGTCTGCTTAAAAATACAAAATGCCTTCTCATTCTATTTAATAAAAATACTTAAAAGCAATAAATGAAATGTACATAAGTTTCACAGATGTGCCAATCACAAGTTTTAAGAAAAACAATCAGGAGAAAGCATGTCAAAATGGTTTAAACAACGTGTAATTAAAACATTAGATCTGACTTGTATACCAAGTGGTAACAAATGCTAACCTAAAGTTTTCATGAACTCAGTAGCTACAATCTATATTCTATTCTCCCCCATCTCTCCATTTAACAATAGCAATATTTTCTTAAATGCTTAAAAAAAAAATAAGAAAACCTGTATGGAACATGATTTTCTTAAACAGACTAAGATGCTTATGAGAGACATGAAACCTTTGAAAAAGAGTGTGCAGTTTCTATAAAGAAAATATATATATACTTCAGATGAAGACACAAATACACTGCTTCTTGATAAACATCCTGGACATGTTCTCTTATTTATACTACGCAGAATCAGAATTTGAAAAATAATAATCGTTCTCTTCTTCATCTAAAGACTCCATAGCCTTCGTGAAAAGTTTTCCAATACCAGAGTTTTCTGCTAATTCTGTAATGAGAAGTTTAATAAAAAAGATTAATATATTTCTAAAAGCAATTTCAAGGAAATTGAAAATAACTACAGGAAACAAATTGATAGGTCTACCCACTTGAGAACAATTAATTTTAATACTGTGTTAATAAAGAGACTACCCTATAGTAGAACAGAGCTACAAAAGAAAAGTACATTACCTTTGTTAAATGTTGTTTTTCTTCTTGATGGTGGAGTTGAAAAATCAGTTTCAAACTACAAGAGAGTTCATATTAGCTAAGTGGAAATTCTTCCAATACCACAGTTTTCTGCTAATTAACCTCCTGTGAAGACTTGCTTCAAATGCAGACAAAATTCAGTATCCTTTATCCCAAACTAATATCACAAACTAATGCTGTAGTGGTTAAAGGATAGCACCTGAAAGTTGCCAAAATCAACTGAATACTTATTCCATTCCATAACACTAGCAAAGTTTGAGTTCTCTGTACTTTAAATTCTTGGCTAATGTAGTAATTCGACATATATGAAAAGTTTCAAGTATATAATACATGCTTATGTACACCAGTACCTTTTAAACTATTGGCCATGGCTATCTTTAAAAAATGAAAAGGAATAGGATAGAAAAGAAAATATGACAGCACACGCCAGACAGAAGTGGCAAGATATAATCAAAGTCCTGATAGGAAAATCTGCAAACTAAGATATTCTACCCAGCAAGGATATAATTCAGAATAGAAGGAGAGATTAAGAATTTCACAGACAAGCAAAAACTGAAAGACTACAGCAATGCTAAACCTATCCTAAAGGAAACACTGAAAGTTCTTCTCCACACAGAAAAGAAGTTAAGAATCTAAATAAGCCAGGACACAGATTTTTTTAAAAAATGGAAACAATTCATGAAAGCAATGATAACCACAATAAACAGCAAAAGGATGAATATGAAGATTTAAAAGAGGACATCAGAATCATAAAATGTAGGGGAGGAGAGTAAGAAAATGTACATTTTTTCCCCCAGAATATGTTTGAGCCTATATTACTACCAGTCTAAAGCAAGTGGATACAGGAAGAAGTTAATAGACTTGAAAAACAAGGTAACCACAAATCAAACATACAACAGATTCATAACCAAAAAGAGAACACAAACACAATATGAAAGAAAATCATCAAACCACAAAAGGGAAAACAAAAATGGACAAATAAGAAAATACAAAATCAACAGGCAAACAAGGTTTAAAATGGCAATAAATAATCTATCAATAATTACCTTAAATGTGAATGCACTAAACGTTCCAGTCAAAAAACACATGTGCACCTGTGGCTGATTCATGTCGATGTATGGCAGAAAGCATCACAATATTGTAAAGTAATTATCTTCCAATTAAAATAATTAATTAAAAACTGGATGAAAAAAGAAGAACCTACAGCATGCTGCCTACAAGAGGACCCACTTTAGGGCACATAGGACATTTCATGAAATGGAAATGAGAAGAAAGCTGGGCGGGCGGTGGGGAGTGAAGAGGGGGTTAGGGGGAGCAATACTCAAATCAGACAAAGTAGATTTTACAACAAAGGCTACAAAGAAAGATAAAGAAGGCAAGCTACTAGCACTATTGTAATGACAAAAGGATCATTACAAGAGGATATTACAGTCATCAACACAATGCGCCCAATAGAGGAGCATCCAGATACATAAATACTAATAGAGCAGAGACATCCCTTTGCTGACAAAGATCCGTATAGTCAAGGCTACGGTTTTTCCAATAGTCAGGTATGGATGTGAGAGTTGGACAATAAAGAAGGCTGAGTGCTAAAGAATTGATACTTTTGAACTGTGGTGCTGGAGAGACTCTTGAGAGTCCTTTGGACTGCAAGATGAAACCAGTCAATCCTAAAGGAAATCAACCCTGAATATTCATTGGAAGGACTGATCCTGAAGCTAAAGCTCCAATACTTTGTCACCTGATGCAAAGAACTGACTCACTGGAAAAGACCCTGATGCTGGGAAAGACTGAGGACAGGAGCAGAAGGGGGCAACAGAAGATGAGATGGTTGGATGGCATCACTGGCTCAATGGACATGCGTTAGAGCAAACTGGGAGATAGTAAAGGACAGGGAGGCCTGGTGTGCTGCAGTCCAAGGGGTTGCAAAATCGGATACGACTTAGCAAGTGAACAACAGACATTAAGAGAACTGACGGGAATACAATGATAGTAGGAGACTTTAACACCCCACTAAATCAATGAACTAATCTTCAACACAGAAAATCAACAAGGCAGTGGAGATCCTAAATGATATGATATCATCATGATTCCCACTTCACATCATATATTAATGAGACCTGAAAGCTCAAGTAGCTTGCCTTGTCATAAAGCTGGTATGGAGTCAAACTTTGAAATCAGAACCTTTAATACTAAACCCTTTGCTCTATCCTGACCTAGTGGCTATAAATGAAGCCAAAATTTCATTCTTGTAAGGAACGTGGAATTGGAAAAAGGGACTCAAACACTGCAAGGGAGTTTGCCCACATTTTCAATTACAGAGAAGAAGTTTCTTTTGAAGAATTTATAGTCTCCAGGCTGATTTTAAACAGTTTCTTTTGAAGAATTTACAGTCTCCAGGCTGATTTTAAACCAAGGTTCCCAGAGTTATCAACCACTTCCTGTGGACAAATAAAGCCTATAACGATTAGATCTGGTTAGGTAATCCCAATGTTTAAGTTTAGAGACTCTGAGAGGAACTATACTCTAGCAGGTGTCCTATATAAATACTTCAACATGGGTGAGGGGAAGAAAAGATGGCCATAACCTGGTTTGAAGGAATACACCCTCAGGGAATAAGGTAGTCTCCTCTTTTACCCCATACATTATCTAAGACTGGCTATTTACTTTGAGGAAATCTGAGGTGAACTAGCTTTTCCTGAATACTTACAGTTTTATCTGGATATAAATTATTCAAATTAAATGAGAAATTAAAATTTAGATCACTCAAAGGCAATATTGAGTTAAAATTTTTCTATAATTAGATTTTAAATACTGAAATACATACAATACACACATACACATATAAAATCAAGTAGCTGAATCTGAAAAAATTTTGAAATCTGCAGAGTATTTTGAATCTGTAATGAAATTTCTTGTTCCATGACAATCATAACTCAATCAGTATGGATTATTTCCCGATCACTGAATAGATATTATGCTTCTGTGTCTTGCCTGAAATGTCCTTCTCTAACCTATATGTGTTTCTCCTACCCTGCCTGACTCCTCAAATGAAAATTCTCACCTTACTCAAATGCTCCAGTCTATGAACTGCCATCTGTAATCCTATAGCACTTACGTGCTTACCTCACTCATAGCCTCATATTATAATTTACTTATATTAGGCTATAATCAACATGAAGGCAAGGGTTGTTACATAACTTATAACTCCAACAATTTGCCAGGTATTATAGTTGTTCAACAGATGCATGCATGCTCAGTCATTTCAGTTGAGTCTGACTCTTTGCAATCCTATGGACCGTAGCCCACCAGGCTCCTCTGTCCATGGGATTCTCCAGGCAGGAATACTGGAGTGGGTTGCTATGCCATCCTCCAGGGTAGCTTCCTGACCCAGGGATCTAAAGTACATCTCCTGTGTTTCCTGCATTGCAGGCAGATTCTTTACCGCTTAGGTACTGGGAAGCCCCAACAAAGAAAAATACTTACTGTTTTTTTCTTGATATTGCCCCAGGTAGTGCCACCTTTACTTTTATGGGTTTTTTGCATACGAAAAACATATTTATCACAATCATTCCTGTTTAAATATAATTTCAAATCAACATTAATCACCATACTTTAATCCACCGATTGGACAGCAATTGACAAAGTTAATTTAAAATGTTTCTGTACGTTAAAAGTATATTTTATAGTCCATTTTTAAAAAGACAGTTGTGTACCGATGGAGATGCACAGAATGCTTCAACCCTGTAAGAGTGTTCTGAAAAGGGTGGCTTTTCACTCATTGCCCACTGTCCCATCTGCTCCTTCTGGCCTCTATCTTGCTGCCTGTCTTTCTCAAACTCACTAAGACAGCTTGTTCATTGATTCCTTTTTGTTACACCTTTCACTCCTTTCTCTTGTTCATGTCTTCCTTCCCTATCCGGGTTGAATCTTAGAGTTACCACTTTAAGGATATGCATGATGATGAAAACTCTCCATTAATTTAGGCCTTCCAATTGTGTTGAGATTCAGTTTGGCTCATAAGCCTTTTATTTTTACATCGTTACATGTTTTTTATACCAACTAAGATGTTAAAAGAAAATTTTTTTTAACCTTACCTCTTTCCCCTCTCACCCTTAGCAAATACACCTGACTCATAAGTTACAGATGAAAACTGAAGCCACATAGAATGATGTTCTCAGTTTCCCCAACAATTACTTAGGACAAATTTTCACTCTAGGCCTCAAGTTCCTTTATGATTGACTATCCATTCCTTTATGACTATTTGGCAACCTTAAAGGTAGGACGTGTAAGAAATATGTAAATATGTGATACATATTAAGATACCAATGTGAACCACAAGCACTGCTGCGCAGTACGTGAATGAGCCTAGCCAGTTGTTCAGGACCAGCACCTCACAAAACTGCTGTCCTGTACAGATACTTTGGGAGTGATAAAAAAAATACTGCTGAATTGCTTAAAATTGTTATGAAAAGGAAGCTAACTACTAGAGTCGGTGAAGTCTAGAGATTAAAGAGGTCTAGGAAACTTGTTTTTTAAAATTAAAGTTTTACAAAATATATTCTTGGTATATGAGTCCATTTTGTGCTCTGTAAGGGAAAAAAGCCATTTTCTATAATTGTGAAAGTGATATATATTAAAAGAACAGTATCACAATCCACATCAGTGTAATCCTACAATCTACAGATAATGGCTGGTGTTTTTGGTTAAGGAATTTCCTATCTCCTATGAATACATGTTACAAAACTGGGGTCATACTGTATGTAATGTAGTTTTATTTCTTAAACTGGATCATACTATATGTAATATAGTTTTATGTTAGCTTTTAAAAATTATTCACTGAACATTATTCTATATCATTACAATTTATTGAAAGCATTATCTAATTCTTTTAAACTTTTATTGGAGTATAGGTGCTTTACAATGTTGTTAGTTCTTACTGTACAGCAAAGTGAGTCAGCTACACCCACACCGAAAGTGAGTTAGCTACACACACACACACACACACACACACACACACACACACACACAAAGTGAGTTAGCTACACACACACACACAAAGTGAGTTAGCTACACACACACACACACACCGAAAGTGAGTTAGCTACACACACACACACACACAAAGTGAGTCAGCTGCACCCACACCGAAAGTGAGTTAGCTACACACACACACACACACACCGAAAGTGAGTTAGCTACACACACACACACACCGAAAGTGAGTTAGCTACACACACACACACCGAAAGTGAGTTAGCTACACACACACACAAAGTGAGTCAGCTGCACCCACACCGAAAGTGAGTTAGCTACACACACACACACACACACACCGAAAGTGAGTTAGCTACACACACACACACACACCGAAAGTGAGTTAGCTACACACACACACACACACACACCGAAAGTGAGTTAGCTACACACACACACACACCCCGAAAGTGAGTTAGCTACACACACACACAAAGTGAGTCAGCTGCACCCACACACCCACACCGAAAGTGAGTTAGCTACACACACACACACAAACACACACACACACAAAGTGAGTCAGCTACACCCACACACCCACACCGAAAGTGAGTTAGCTACACACACACACAAAGTGAGTTAGCTACACACACACACACACACACACACACACACCGAAAGTGAGTTAGCTACACACAAAGTGAGTCAGCTGCACCCACACACCCACACCGAAAGTGAGTTAGCTACACACACACACACAAAGTGAGTTAGCTACACACACACACACACACACACACACCGAAAGTGAGTTAGCTACACACACACACACACACCGAAAGTGAGTTAGCTACACACACACACACAAACACACACCCATTTTTGGATTTCCTTTCCATTTAGGTCACCACAGAGCATTGAGCAGAGTTCTCTGTACTATACCTGTAGTTTCTCATTAGCTGTCTACTTTAAACATAGTATCAACAGTGCACATATGTCAAACCTAGTTCTCCCAATTCATCCAACCACCCTCCCCCCTTGGTATCCATGTTTGTCCTTTATATCTGTGTCTCTATTTCAGTTTGTAAATGAGACCCATCTATATCAGGAGTTCCTCAAGCAGAGGGCCTGGGACTTGTAATGGTCCATGACCTGTTGGGAACCAAGCTGCACAGGAGGGGAGGGACAGGTAAGTGAGGCTTCACTGCGGTTCCCCACTGCTCACATTACTGCCTGAACCATTCCACCCTCTACCCACCCCCAGGTCCATGGAAAACCGTCTTCTACAAAACTGGTTCCTGGTGTCAAAAATTTTGGGAACTGCTGGTCTCTACCAATTTTTTCAGATCCCATATTTATGTGTTAACATACAATATTCTTTTCTCTGACTGATTTCACTCTGTATGACAGTCTCTAGGTCCATCCTTGTCTCTATAAATGACCCAATTTCATTCCCTTTTATGGTCATATTCCCTTGTATATATATATCACATCTTTATCCACTCCTCTGTTAACGGACATTTGTTTCCATGTCCTAGCCACTGTAAATAACACTGTAGTGAACACTGGGGTGCACGTGTCTACTTGAATTATGGTTTTCTCTGGGTATATGCTCAGTAGTGGCGTTGCTGAGCTACATGGTAGTTTCAGTTTTTAGGTTTTTTGGTTTTTTTTTTTTTTTGGCTGCACCATGCAGCATGTGGGATCTTAATTCCCTGACCAGGAATCGAACCTGTGCCCTCTGCATTGGCAGCTCAGAGTCTTAACTACTGGAATGCCAGGGAAGTACCTCAATTTTTAGTTTTTTTAAGAAATCTCCATACTGTTCTCCATAGTGGCTGTTATCAATTTACATTCCCACCAACAGTGCAAGAGGGTTCCCTTTTCTCCATATCCTTTCCAGCATATACTGTCTAGATTTTAATGATGGACATTCTGACTGATATGATGTGATATCTCATTGTACTCTCGCATTCTTTAATAACTAGTGATGTTGAGCATCTTTTCGTGTGTTTGTTGGCTGTCTGTATTGAAGACATCATTTTAAATTGTTACATATTCCATTATATGGACAAATCCTAATTTCTTAACTTTCCTTATTATTGGACTGTTATGTCACTTTCAAAATTTCAGTATTGTTTTGTGATGAACATCTCTGTTCATACAAGTGTACGCTCATACTTGCCCAAATTCATATTTCCTTAGAAATAAAATTTAAGGGCCAAAGGAATGAATATCTTAAAGCTAATGATTTGGCCAAAGTTCTTACCAAAATCTGTCCGAAATTATATGTGCCACAGAAATAAACTCACACACCTATGGTCAATTAATCTTTGACAAAGGAGGCAAGAATATACAATGGAAAAAAGACATTCTCTTCAATAAGTGATGTTAAAGTTGGACAGCCATATGTAAATCAAGTTAGAAAACACCCTCACACCATGCATAAAAGTATGGCTTAAGGACTTATAAGACATGACACCATAAAACTCCCAGACCAGAACATAGGCAAAACATTCTCTGACATAAATCATACCAGTATTTTCTTAGATCAGTCTCCCAAGGCAATAGAAATAAAAGCAAAGTTAAACAAATAAGACCTAATCAAACTTACAAGCTTTGGTACAGCAAAGGAAACCGTCAACAAAACAAAAGGACAACCTACAGACCGGGAGAAAATAGCTGCAAATGGTGTGACCAACAAGGGTTAATTTCCAAAATATACAAAGAGCTCATACAACTCAACAAGGGAAAAACAAAACAACCCAATCAAAAAATGGACAGAATACCTAAGAGACATTTTTCCAAAGAAGACATACAAATGCACATGAAAAAATGCTTAACCTCACTAGTTATTAGAGAAATGCAATTCAAAACTACAATGAGTACTACCTCCCATTGGTCAGAATGACCATCATTTAAAAATCTACAAGTAAGTGGTGGAGAGAATGTGGAGAAAAGGGAATCCTCCTGCACTGTTGGTAGGAATGTAAATTGGTACAGCCACTATGGAGAACAGTATAGAGGTTCCTCAAGAAACGGAAGAGAGTTGCCATATGATCCAGCGATTCCACTCCTGGGCATATATCCAGACAAAACTATAATTTAAAAGGACACATACATATGTTCATAGCAGCACTATTCACAATAGCCAAAACATGGAAGCAACCTAAATGTCAACTGACAGATGAATGGATAAAAAAGATATGGTACACATATACAGTGAAATACTACTCCGCCATAAAAAGAACCATGAAATAGTGCCATTTGCAGCAACATGGATGGACCTAGATATTATCATACTAAGTGAAGTCAGACAGAGAAAGACAAATAGCACATGATATCACTTACGTGTGGAATCTATGACACAAATGAACCTATCTATAAAACAGAAATAGACTAACAGAACAGGCTTGTGGTTGCCAACGGGAGAGAGGATTGGGAGGGAAATGGATTAGGAGTTTGGAGTTAGCAGATGGAAACTATTATATATAGACTGGATAAATAACAAGGTCCTACTGTATAGCACAGGGAACCATATTCAATATCCAGTGATAAGCCATAATAGAATATTTTAAAAATATATATATAAAAAAAACTGAGTCACTTTGGTGTACAGAAGAAAATGACAACACTGTAAATCAACTATACTTCAATTAAATTCTGAAGTATTTAAAAAAATTGTATGCTTAATATACTTTTACTTGTAGTAAATACTTATTTAAAAATGAACAAAAAATAATTTCTTGATTGCTAGGGAAAATTATGTTTTTGCTGAGTAAATGCAAATTCAAATTTTCACTAAGCTTCATGAGAATACTGAATGGTTTTTTTTTCCTCCCAGTTTTGATCATATGGCTTCGCTCTCTCACACCCCAAGAAAACTGCTTTTATCAAGATCAGTGCTAGCCTGCTGAACTGCCAAATGAATAGTCTATTTTCAGACCACCTTACCATTTTCCATTTTCCCCCTATGTTATTTGATTGTTGGCCACCCATACCGTTTATTATTTTTATTTATTTATAGTTCAAAATAACATTTATATTCACATAGTGTGGAATTCAAAGTCTTCTTTTTTGTCCCAAGTTATCTTAGTTTGTCTTCCTGAAAGATCACCAATGTTTTCAGTTGCTTATGTATCCTTTCAGGGATATTTGATCAAATAAAAGCAATTACATGTGTGTATACACACACATACATACAAGGATACACACACAGAGCCCCTATTTACACAAATGATAACACATTAACTACATCTAACGGTTTTCATTTATTTTTTTATTTTTTGGCTGTGCTTGCGGCATGCAGATCTTAGTTCTCCCACCAGGGATCAAACTCGCCCCCTGCACTGGGAGCTGTGGAGTCTTAACCACTGGACCGCCAGGGAAGTCCCCCTTTTTTTCATTTAATATAGCTTGAATATCTTACCATAAGTACACAAAGAATTTATCATTAATTTCTATGACTACATAATGTAGCAGAATTTGATTGGTCCCTAATCGATGGACATTTGAGTTGTTTCCAGCCTTTTGTCATTATAAGCAATACTGCAACAAATTAGCTGTACAATCACAATTCTAGAAGTAGGACTGCTAGGTCAGAGAGTGTATGAATTTATAATTTTGATAGATATCAACAACGTACCACTTTCAGGGACTGAACTAATTTACCTTTTCACTAGTGATGTGTGAGAATGGCTTTCCTTTTCTTGTTAATTGGTAGGAGTGTTGTAACAGGGAAGTTAGCCTTTTTTCCTGTGGTAAGTTCCATAAATTCTTTTTTTTTTAAATTATAAGTTCAATAAATTCTTTTCTCAGATTCTGATTTGTCTTCTGACTGTTTCTGATGGTTGGTACCAACTAAAACTTTATTTTCTATATGGCTGACTTTATCATACTTTTTGTTAGTGGCTTCTGGGACTTCTAAGATTATGAAATACTTCTCCACAGTTTTCTAAAGATATATTTTATAGTTCAATTTTTACTTGCAAAACTTGGACCCATTTGGAATTTATCCTAAGGCAGAGTGTGAACTGTGTACTGACAATGCTGAAAACACCTATACTTGCAGAGACTATCCACCTCTGACCTGTAGGAACCATTCTTTCTTGTTTTTTTAAAAAATAATGATGACTTCTCTAATTACTGACATCTACTGTCTTCAACATGGGATGTTAAAAGCTGCTGCAGAGAACTACTGTTCCATGTGCACAAACACTTACCTGTTTATAGAGTCTAGCATGCCAGGTGTGACATGATGGCACTGAGGAGTTTTTGCCAGTGGAAAGATAACTGATGATGGAGTTGTTGGATTTCTGTCCATATTTGGCAGAATATCATCCCCTTCTTGACTGTCCTGGAAACTTGGTAACTAAAAAGCAAATACGTATTACCAACAGGCACCCCTAAAAACAGAATTCCTCATTATCACAAATTGTTTTTTGGGGGGAGGGATTATGTTATTTTCCTTATTATAACTTCACAACTGAGATAACTAAAATATTAGTAGGTAGAGAACAGCGCCTTGGTCTCTAAAACACTTAGTTTCTACTGTGTAAAATGGAAATGACACACATTTCTAGTATTGCATAAGCCAAAGGTCAGCAAATATTTTCTGTAGAGTCAGAAAATATTTTAGGTTTTATGGTCTATACAGTCTTTGTCCCACTGCTCAATTCCACTGCTGAAGCAGGAAAGCAGCCACAGCCAACATGTCTGTGGTCCAGTAAAATACTGTTTATAAAAAGAGCTGATATGCCAGATCTGGCCTGTGGGCCAAGTATACTGACCTCTGCACAGACAGAACAAAGCAAAAAGTATAACTGATTTACTATTATGCTTGGTACGTAACAGATACTCAAGCAGTATTAAACTTTTGGGGTATATATATTTCCAATAAATAATTTAATCTTTTAATTAAAATTTTACTTACCTTTATATTAAAACCTTAGAAAAAGTGGGTTTCAAGACATTTCTCCAAGGAAGACATACAGATGGCTAACAAACACATGAAAAGATGCTCAACATCACTCATTATCAGAGAAATGCAAATCAAAACCACAATGAGGTACCATTACACACCAGTCAGGATGGCTGCTATCCAAAAGTCTACAAGCAATAAATGCTGGAGAGGGTCTGGAGAAAGGGGAACCCTCTTACACTGTTGGTGGGAATGCAAATTAGTACAGCCACTATGGAAAACAGTGTGGAGATTTCTTAAAAAGCTGGAAATAGAACTGCCATATGACCCAGCAATCCCACTTCTGGGCATACACACCGAGGAAACCAGATCTGAAAGAGACACGTGTACCCCAATGTTCATCGCAGCACTGTTTATAATAGCCAGGACATGGAAGCAACCTAGATGCCCATCAGCAGACGAATGGATGAGGAAGCTGTGGTACATATACACCATGGAATATTACTCAGCCATTAAAAAGAATTCATTTGAATCAGTTCTAATGAGATGGATGAAACTGGAGCCCATTATACAGAGCGAAGTAAGCCAGAAAGATAAAGATCATTACAGTATACTAACACATATATATGGAATTTAGAAAGATGGTAATGATAACCCTATGTGCAAAACAGAAAAAGAGACTCCTATGTATAGAACAGACTTGTGGACTCTGGGAGAAGGCGAGGGTGGGATGTTTCAAGAGAACAGCATCGAAACACGTATATTATCTAGGGTGAAACAGTTCACCAGCCCAGGTTGGGTGCATGAGACAAGTGCTCGGGCCTGGTGCACTGGGAAGACCCAGAGGGATTGGGAGGAGAGGGAGGTGGGAGGGGGGACCGGGATGGGGAATACATGTAAAAAAAAAAAAAAAAGATACACTATGGTTGTGATAAAAAAAAAAAAAAAAAAAAAGCGATGCTAAAAAAAAAAAGAAAAAGTGGGTTTCTGTTTCTATTTTATTATTTTTGCTTTTAAAATACTGCTACTGTTGCACTTAGGACAAAACATAGATAGAACCTGAAATGATGGGGGGAATAATATAAAGGGCACATTGCCTAAAGGATCAGTGTTTTTGTGCAGAGAACACAGTAGGAGCCTCAGATGGCTCCTTTAAAATACTTCCCTTTATAACCTGTCTAGGTAAAAAGGGGCCCCAGATCATGTTGTCACTAAGTTCTAAGTAGCCTTTAAAACTGGATAATTTAACAACACTGTGAAATGGGTAGATGGAAAAATTACCCCTAGTGTGAGCCTTCTGAATTTTTTTCTTGCCTACTTTTTTCCCCTGTGAGCTTGATACTTTTTATTATTCCAGTAACATCTGAATGAGTTCTTACTGTTTTTATATTTATCCCAATCACTGAAATTTTTAGTTATGTGATTTTTTTCATTCTATTAGTATAAAAATTCTTGTATACATTCAAATCTGTCAATTTTATGCTGCCATGTAATCCCTCCTATGAATTTACTATCAGTAGGTAATAATCTATACTGGTCACCCCCCTTCTTAAAGTCTGCCTCACTGCATATGAATTTTAAATATATATGCTTGGCCTGTTTCTGGGTTTTCTATTTGGTTCTTTAAGCATTACTTCTGAACCCCACTGAAGGGTAGACCCTGTCCACTGAGGAGAATGGCATAACTGGCAGACTGCTTCTTATACTCCACTCACATTCTACTCTAGCATATCTGTGGCGGCTGTCAGTCCTTGGCCTAAATATTAGGAATGAACACTAATCCTAAATAAAAATGAAAGATACAAAAGTCAATATAAAGAAAACAATGATTTCTACATTTCAGACTCTTACCAGTATTTTTTGATGTTGCAAAGGTGTTGCACTGAAAAAATCATCATGATCATCTTTTGGCAGCTGTTCAAGAAAATCTCTCATCTGCTGCTTCCTTTTAAGAGTTCCCACTTTGGCAGTTATCTTCATGGTTTCCTTCTTATCAGCATCATCGACCTTGCCTTAAGAATCAGCAAAAGATTTTGGTGAGGATTTGGTCTTGAATAGTAACTGCTCTGTAAAGTTAACAGCCTATGCAAAATCTAAACTGTACATTCATATTAAATAAACTCGGCATCTGTCGTTAATGTTTCCAAGCCTCCTAAATAACAAAACTCTACACTGTGATTCGGGCAATATGATTAGATTACAAAAATACTCAAGAAGAAATTACATTTCGATTAGGCAGGGTGTGGTTGGAAAGGTTCTTTATCTGTGAGGGAAGTTACCGCTCCTACTTCCCTTTCTGGTTGTCTACCCTATTGTCTTGCTAAAATATAAACCTTATTGAATTAGGACAGGGATACTGAATGTTCCCTAAAGCTTCGTGTAAGACTTCTCTGGCATAAACCTGGCCAGGAATGTGTACTCCTGGGACTATACACTAAACTTATTCTTACGAGTTTTCTTATGAATTACTAAGGGACCCTAACAAAGTGGCCTCAAATTTAACTTAGAAAAATAAGCCAGTTGTTGGAATCTCTGGATCCAACTGCAGATTTCCTAGAACAAACTAAAAGCACAAGGCTGCTAAGGTTATGATTATTATAAGTAAGTAGCTAGGTCAGACTTAAAAAATTAAACAGATGATCTTTGGAGTTGTTTCTAGCTTTAAAATTATAAAAACAAAATCCACCTACTAGAAGACACATGGATAAATATAAATTACATCTAATGAGTGATCAGAAATCAATATTGAGAACTAGGAAAAAACTATTTGCTATAAAGGTTACCATCTTGGCCTTTGGGGTTGGCTGGCTTTTTCTTGGTGTCATGTTTCTGAAATCTTTTTCCTCGGGGATCTTCCATGTACTTCCTCTGGCATTCATCCGCAGATCGAGAACCTACAGCCATAGCTACGTCTGACCAGAAACCAGGCTTGTGCTTTGGCAGAGATGCAACAGCACTACAGAAGACCAAAACCAGTTAAAGAACAAGAAATTCAACTAATTAAAAGTAACCTTTTATTGAAGTGAAGGGATGCCACTAAATCAGGAATTTTATCAAAATCATTCTAGATAACTATTTGGGAAAAAGTTAGTATTCCCTACACTTAATAATTCTTACTCTAATATGAAGATGTGAGTTTATGTATCTAGTAGATGCCTTCAATTTTGTTGTATTCTATCAAACCTTAAAAACTATGCCCAGTCTTTCAACATATTTTCCTAAGTCCAGCTAAGCAATGATTAGATTTTTGGGGGTGGGAGGTGGGGGCTCTAGCATGATTAACTTTTCTGCATCAATGCATGAATCTTACTGGTGCTAAGTATATAGGAAGACAAGTTCTTAGGTTCTGTATAATCCAGGTTACAAACTCTTACTAAAAAGTGTTATGCTTGCTTTTACTCTATTTTAGTTTATAGAACTCAGTATTTTATGTATAGTACTTAACTGAGGGAAATGAAAATTGAAATAGAAAAAAATTGAGTTACATTCTAAAATTTCATTGTAAATGATTATTTAGAGCCTGGTATACATATTACTGCCTCCCCAACTCCCAATAGATTTTATATGTTGTGGTTAGGCTGATATTAATAGTTCTGCCAGAAAAGGTCTATTTAACTCACCAATTAACCTATGCAGTATAGTGCTGGAAAAAATTTAACAACTAGTTCTCTGGGGTTAAAAAGCCCTGTTTGTGGTGTTTGTCAACTTCCATATTGTAAATACTTCTATTGTGGCTGATTTCAAGCTACCAGTTATACAGAATTTCTACCATACAGATATGACAGACATTAAAAACCTCAAGGGCACAGATAAGAATAAAATATAGTAAAATATTTAGGAAGTGATGAGTTTAGAGTTTGTTTCTAGTAAATTTATTTTTAGTTTATATAATTTTTAATAATGACAAATTGAATAAAAACATTCAATTTGTAAAATTCCTAAATATTTAAGAGTCAGCTTTTGTGAATAGATATGATCTAACTATAGAATACCACTTATTCCATACATAAAAGGAGAACAGACAACAAATACTAAGAGCATTGAACTTGTTAATGAATGTTTTGCTTTTGCATAATTAATCATTCCACATGTGTTCTCAAGTGGAGTTCCCTATTTGTATACACAGCTAGCATGCAAGTCTAGGATTGCCTAAAAGGACTAGTTTGTTATAGTAAAAATACTTAATCCATTTAATATGAAATCATTCTGTAGTTAACATATCTCCTCTAGTCAACCTAAGTAATTTAAAAAGGCAGATGTAATCATATTACTCCAGTCCTACTTAAAAATCATTTCATGGGGATTTCCCTGGTGGTCCAATGGCTAAGACTCCAAGCTCCCAATGCAGGGGGCCTGGGTTTGATCCCTGGTCAGGGAACTAGATCACTCATGCCACAACTAAGACCCAATAAAGCCAAATAAACATTTTCTTTTTAAAAAATCACTTCATCATTCTTAGCATAAAAACCAAGTAGGACCTATACTATTCCTTGCCCATCAGTTCTCATCCTCTACTGTTCTTCCCTCACCTTCTGTATGCCAGTCATTTTGGCCTTTTAGTATTTTAAAATATTCTCTCTTACTTTCTACCTCTATATACATGGTTTTAATTTAAAATGTACTTATCCTGAATCTTTGGCTTGAATACTTATTTATCCTTCAAATCTTAGTTCTGGTATCTACCTAAACAAAGTCATTTTCCAGATAAATATTCTCATAAACCTCTTACAGGGATTATTTGCTAAGTATCTGTCTACCCTACTAGGCTATAAGCATGATGAGGGGTATAAAATCGTGGGCTGCAAGTAAGAATCACTTAAGGAGCTTATAGCAAAATTTAAGGAAGCAAGTAAAAATAAGCAAACAGATCCGTAGACTGTATTCCTGAAGATTTCAATTCAGTAGGACTGGGGTGACAGTCCTTGCATTTTCCAAAAGCTCCTTATGTGATTATTTTGCTGTGAAGTCAGCATTAGAATTGCTTTATGTTGTTTGTAAGAATAAAGTATTACATCTAATTGAGTGGAAAGCAGGAAGGGGTAATAACAAGGAAAGGTTACAAGGAGGAAGTGACATGTGAGATGAAACTTGAGGGATGGATAAAAATGTAACAGGAGAAAATGAGACAACAATATTGGCAAAGAAATGAAGACAAAGAAACTGCATATGGCTGCTGCTGCTGCTCAATCGTATGGCTAGGGAATGGTAAATAATTCATATTTAAAGTCTGGTAAACTTCAAAGAAATGGCTGCAGGTCAGAGTTGTGAAAAAAACTAGAGAAGCATAACCCAAGCCCAAGTCTTCCAGATCAGAATATTATAATAGTATGCACTCTAGGCACTTATAAAACATTTTAAGTTTATAGTAAAATTGTCCTTTTGGGTATGGTTCTCTGAAATCTGTATATACATGTAGATACAAAACAGCTCCATCAGACTGGGGAAAAAAAAACTTGTAGTCCTACCTCTTTGTGGTTCACCACTACAACCATTGGAAATCCCTGATCCATTTTTTTTCTTTTTAGTTCTGTCTTTTCCAGAACATCATATAAATGGAATCATATAATATGTAACCTTTTGGGCTGGCTTTTTTCACTCAGCATAATACATTTGAAATTAATTCAAATGGTTACAAGAATGGATTGTTTTTCCTTTTTATTACGTAGTAGTTCATTCATTGTTAAGATTGTACCATGACTGCCTTTATGCAAACAGGGCCATGAAAATCAGGAAGAGAAATGAGCTACGTAAAATCAATCTATAATGTTTATGAACTTCTGGGCTCACACTGCAAATTTTGATATATTTTCTTCTTTGTTCAGTTCAGAATATTTTCCCTTGAGACTTCCTCTTTGACCCATGGATTATATACAGGTGTGTTATTTATTTTTCCAGCACTTGGAATATTTTTTTTTTATTGATTTGTAGTTTAATTCAGTTATGGCCAACAAATACCCTTTGTCTAACCAGTTATTTTCAATTTGTTAACATTTGTCTTATGATCTAGTAAGTGTTCATCTTGGTGAATAATTCACCTATCCTTGGAAAGAATATTCTTTCCCTACTGTTAGGTACACTATTCTAAAATGTCAGCTAGATACAGTTGGTTGATAATGTTGTTGAGTTCTCCTACACCTTCACTAATTTCCTGTCTACTAGTTCTGTTAATTACCAAGAGAAGAACACTGAAGTCTCCACCTATAATTATGCGTATGACTCTTTTCAGTTCAGTACTTTCCTGAAGGACAGGGAAGCCCGGTGTGCTGCAGTTCATGGGGTTGCAAAGAGTTAGACGCAACTGAGCAACTGAACAACTTTCCTTTTAGTTCTTTCAGATTTTGATTCTTGTATTTTGAGTTTTTGTTCAGTGCATACACATTTAGGATTAAGCCTTCCTTGTGAAATGACACTTCTATTATTTTGTAATGTCTTGCTTTACCCTTGATATATTCTTCATACTGAAATCTTTGATCAGTATTAGTATAGCCACTCCAGCCATCTATTGGGTTTGCATGGTATTTATCTATCCTTTCACTATTAAGTTGGCTATGTCGTATTTGAAGTGTTTCTTTTATATGACACATTGTGTGATTGTGTTTTTAAATTCATTCTGACAGTCTATTAAATGGTGCATTTAAATTATTAACATAATTAATGCAATTGTTTTTCTTTGCTCCCCATCTTCTATTTCTCTTTTTCTGCCTTTTTAAAAAAGTATTTTATCTATTATATATTTGAAGATATCTGTGTAGTTTTTTAGTGGATGCTCTGAAGTTTACTATATACATACTTAACAGTCTACTTTGAATCAATATCTTACAGCTTCAAGTAAAATCTAACCATCATACAAGTGTCTTCCTCCTTCCTTATTGTTATAGTTATCTTCTGTATTACATTTACAAATATTTAAAAATTCCATCATGCAATATATTTGCTTTAAACCATTAAACATTTAAAAGAACTCAAGAGGAAAATAGTCTATTATATTCACCCAGAGAACTGCTTTCTCCTTCCTATTCCTCCACTCCTGATATTGCCTCTTTTCCTCTCTCATCTCTATTCTGCTATTGAGTCCACCCAATGAGTTTTTAATTTTGATTATCTCATTTTGCAGTTCTAAAATTTCCATTTGAGCTTTCTTTATATCTTCTACTTCTTGCTGAGACATTATAAATTTCTGTTCAAGAATGATTGCTTTTAGTCCTGAAGTGTTTTTTATGAGACTGACATGCTGCTCACTATGCTAAGACAGGTCTAAAGTGTTTTTATATTCCGGCTCCAGAGTCTTATCAGATAATTCCAACCTCTGTGTCATGCCGTCATTCACACCATTTTGAATGACATTATTCCATGTGAGTTGAAATTTTCATTGTTCTTTATATGTTAAGTAATTCAGGATTACTTCCAAGGCATTTTTAAATAGGAAAGTCTGGGTCTTATACTCTATGCTGGTTTGGTATGCTAAGTCATGTCCAACTCTTTGCAGTCCCATGGACTATAGCCTGCCAGGTTCCTCTGCCCATGGAGTTTTCCAGGCTAGAATACTGAGTGGGGTGCCCTTTCCTACTCCAGGGGATCTTCCCAACCCAGAGATTGAACCTGCCTCTCTTCTGTCTCCTGCATTGGCAGGTGGATTCTTTACCACTAGCGCGACCAGGGAAGCACCCTATATATTCTATAGAAAATATTAATATTTTTATTTTAACAGGCAACCAACCTGGCTGTAACCTGAATTATAAATTCCAGTCAGTTTTCTGTGGTTGCAGTTTCAATGTTAGTTCTGTTTTTAAAGCTTTGCAGTGCTGTTAGGATATACTGCATGTTGGATACTGGGTGGATGGCCTGGAAATTGGATGGTAGTCTACCATTTAGTTCAGTTCTCAAAGGCTCTGGTTATGCTGTCTAGGATCAGACCCACAAATGGACAATACAGGTTGAGTCCAAAAGCCCATAAAC